TGAGCTTGAGTGCGGGGCGCGGGGTTAGTGTCCACTGCCCCGGCCGCCCCGTCACAAGCTAATTTGTGCCTAACAAACAAAGTGCTTATGAATGGTAAAAAGCACCCGTTGTATCCTGTCTAAAACTTCTCTCTGTTCCACCTAGAGGAGGGCTATTAGCTTACTCCTTTCAATTTGAATTGCCACTAAAAGTTAACAGGTTGAAAGATGAAGAAATCCAAAAATAAAAAATAGCTAAGTTGTGGTATAGCGGTGTTTAGCTTTACAACATTCACATTTAAAACTTTTATAAACTGACCCAGAGTAAGGTTTGTGCTCTTAATGCTGGAAAATTACATCAGTTTTTTTTTTTAATGCACCATGAATTGAACTATTCAATGAAGGACAAAGGTTTGTCAAAATTGGAATAGAAAATGGCTTATTCCTTAGAAAAAAATAACATTGCTTTCACTTTGTGCTTGTTAAAATGTATGTGCGTCAAGCCTGTAAGTAATAATGACGCCATCCCTTGCCCTATTTACAAGGGTGCTTGCCAAACATGTCTTTATCTTTTCTTCCTAGATATATATGCTAAAGATGTGTATCGCTCTTGTGCCAAAAAAACCCAAACCCGAAATGTTTACTTCTGGTAAAGAAACAATTACTCTAAAATCGCAGTAAAAACAAACTGTAAAACAACTTCAAATCACGCTTAAGAATGTTTAGCTAATTTGTGCCTAAAGAACAAAGTGCTTAGATCTGTTAAAAAGCACTTAAATTATCTTTTTTAGGAAGTGGGGCAAAGTAATCTTCTCTCTGCTCTACCTTGCGAAGATTATTAGCTTACTCCTTCTAACTTTTATTGCAAGCATTTAACCTTTGGCAATTAAGAAAACCAAAAATAAAAAAGAGCTCACCTATAGTCTCCATAATTTTTGCACGTGTTCTAAAGCAAAGCTAGAACCTCCATATTATGATCGCTAATTTATGGGCTCTAGCTTTAGCGTATCCACATTAAAAACTTTTATAAACTGACCCTAGGAAGTTAGTTCAGAGTTGTTGTTTTTCAGTTGCATGATGTATTAAATTCTTCAATGGAGAACAAATAGTGGAAAAGTTTTCAAAAGTGGAAAAATAAAATTGATTAAAAAAACTATAGTTATCAGTTTGTATTTGTTAAAATTTTTTGCTCATTATACAAAAATTTCAGGAGTGAATGCTAAAAACTTCCATATCTTTTCTTCCCATGCTAAAGATGTTTAGCCAACTCCTGCGTAAAAAGCAAAGGGCATGTCTGTGTTAAAAGTGCAAAGTAAACTTCTTTCTTCTCCATTGAGAGAAGGCTATTAGCTTACTCCTTCTAACTTGTATGGAAACTGACATTTGACTCATTTAAATTTTAAAAAAAGAGTTCACCTGTGGTGTGTATCATTTCTTTGCATGTGTTTTAAAGCCAAGAAGTTTCATTTTATGATAGCTAATTCATGGAGTGAAGCTTTACAGTATCCTCATTTAAAACGCTTAAAGGCTTGTGGTTTTAATCCTGGGAAGTTATTGCAGTGTTTTTTTTTAATGGCAAGATGTATTCAAGCATTAATATCTTTGGAAAACAATCTTAAAAGCAAATCTGGGACTTTCATATGGTCTCTAATTTCCTGGCTTCAAACTTTACAGACTCATTATTATCGGTGTATGGTTTTAGACATTTGTGCTGGCTCTCGTATTGTAATGGAACAGGTTTCTTAAGAAAGAAAGCATTGCAGAAGAAGCGGGTTGAGTGGGTTTCTGATGGCTCAGATCGAGCGGCAAGGCTAGTTCAGCAGACACGCAGCCTCTCGGAGTCTTATAATTTCCCTAGAGCCATCTTATGGATAACGCTGCTCCTCTCTCCTCTTTCATGTAGCCCATTTCATTTCATTTATTTCATTTTATTTAGTTTTTTATTTATTTCATTTTATTGTTTTTCTTGTCCCCTCTCCTTTTTCCTGCTCATATCTCTAGTTGCCATCATTTAATTTATTTAATTTTATTTTGCTTTATAATGTTTTCATTCGCTTCTCATTTTATTCTTTTATTGCTTATTTCTCTAGACATCTTCCTTTCCATTCTCTTTTTAATTTATTTAATTTTATTCAGTTTTTCAATCTCCTTTCTCCACCTTTTACCTTCAGACCTTTGTGCCCTTACACGTTTTATCTTCAGACAAAGGTTTGTCCCTTAACACCTGGACCTGACTCTAGGCCTGGAAAGCAGACATCCTGGAAACATGGCGCCAGACTGGAAACAGAGGGAGGGGCACTTGTCTTAAGACTCCGGTGATGAGGGCTATCGAGCCATTTACTACTCTCAGCCTCAGGATGCAGACTCAGACAACACTAGCAATGATGTACTATCGGAAGGCCTTGGAACCAGATAATACAGTAATCAAGGCAATTCAAGCATTAGACCTTGAGGGACTGGATAAAGATGATCTTTTCCCACATATTCTTCTAGTGGAAAAATGTCCAAGTGGAAGAAAAGTACACTGATTTGTATCTTCAAGCTTTCGGGGGCTGTGTTACCAATCCATTAAGTTCATTAGTCTCAAAATAATATTGTTGGAAAGAGTTTCTGAGAAAAGACTGAGAAACATACTTTTCACCAGTGACATTATGCTTTGTTGTGAAGATGAATATGCACTGGAAAGGGATGTCAAGGGATCAAGGTTTGTGGTACTTGAATGTGATACAATTCAGGCAACTAATGACAGACTATATGTTTTATTAACAGGGAGGTACTGAAAAGCCAGTAAAAATATCTGGGCTAGAGATAATATTTGTACAAGGAGTCAGATATGTTGGTTCAGCATTGAGCTGTCTTCTTCTTTCGAACATCGTGTTCAAAGCTATAGTTCTTCATCAAAGTTGGATGTCCAAGCTCTCCAGCCAATGAACAGCATCACTAGTTAGATTGTGGCTGTCCTCCGATGAGCCAGTGAATTTTCGTGTTGGGCATTCCACAACAATATGGTGCATAGTTTGCGGACTGCCACATTCACAAAGTGGAGATGGCAACAGATTCCACTTCTGCACCTGCCTGGACCAGTCCTAAGACGGTTTAGGACATACCACAGTCTCTGAGGAAGATCAAAGCCATTCTGCTCAGTGGTGGGATCTGACACAAGGGATATGTCTAGACTACATGGAGCTGGCAGCAACAAGGGCTGGGTCAAATTTCTAGGGATGGCTCTTCCACAATACAATACACAACCCTCCCTCCCCACCCCATGACACACTACCCCTTGGTGACTCTGAATAGCAACACCAAACAGCAATGACAAGCACAGATCCTGAGGGTAGAACTGAAACTTTTATTAAAAGGGGGGAAGTGACCAAGCACTACTTTGGGAAAACATCCAACCATACACCATGGCTACGTCTAGACTACATCCCTTTTTCGTAAAAGGGATGTAAATTAGACGTATTGCAATTGCTAATGAAGTGGGGATTTAAATCTCCCGCACTTCATTAGCATAAAAATGGCTGCCGCTTTTCTTCGGCACGGAGCTTTGCCAGAGAAAAGTGCCAGTCTAGACTCTGATCTTTCAGAAAATAAAGCCTTTTCTGAAAGAGCCCTTATCCTTTATTTCAACAGGGATAAGGGATCTTTAGAAAAAGGCTTTATTTTCTGAAAGATCAGAGTCTAGACTGGCACTTTTCTCTGGCAAAGCTCCGTGCCGAAGAAAAGCGGCAGCCATTTTTATGCTAATGAAGTGCGGGAGATTTAAATCCCCACTTCATTAGCAATTGCAATACGTCTAATTTACATCCCTTTTACGAAAAAGGGATGTAGTCCAGACGTAGCCCATGAGCAAAGAACCACACCACAGGTAGGTTGAGCAGTGTTCTCTTCCGTCAGGATCTTAAGTGCAGCAACAATAGTCCCTTTAAAAATGCCTCCCCCTTCCCTGCACCTGCCCACTGTTGTCTTTTGGCCAAGCAAGCCCAGAATCCAGCGGTGCAGCTGCAGTTTACTTTGTGCCCTAGGTGCTTGTTAGCGTGTAAGAAGGTTCTTTACTTGTTTTGCTGATCCCTTCTCGTCATGGACAGCTCTTCAGCTCCCCTGCCAACTAATCATCGCTCTACAGGCATGCAGCGCTCAGTGATTCCAGTGTTAGCCTTACTGATGGTACATACTGGGAAGGCTCTTGTCCTAAATGTTCCAAAACAGAGCTAACACTGAGGCCTAGGTATCAGTGAATTCAGCTCCATGGTGCATAACAAGACTTCCAATGGAAGGGGGGGGTGTCTAAATTAACTAAATTACTCATAAGGGAGTGGAAAAAGGTCCAAGGATTGTCTAGACCCACACAACCAGATACACATACGTATCCCACCTGCCTCTTTTCCTACTGAGTTCTGGAATCCATGTGTCCTAGCTAGCAAGTTGAGGATGAGTCCCTCAATTGGGCTATGCCAAGTATACTATAGTTCTTCTGCCCTGCATTATTCACACAAGGATAACAACACATTTTTATTTTTGCCCCAGTAGGAAGGAAACGGGGAGTCCAACAACCAGAAAAAAGATCATCAGCAATCTCCCCATGGGTGTGTGTAGATTGCTTTTCCACAGCTCATAGCTAGATGTCAGGGGAGCGCTCATTCAGCACTTCCTTGCAATGAGATACGTTCAATGAACTGAATGGGAAAGTGCATAACATATTCAACCCTGACATATGGGCTGGAATTCTGGCCGAGCAGAAAGAGAGGAACTATACTACTGCTGAAATGAGAATGCTAACGTAAATACGCTGGATGAACTCAACCCTGTATGAGGATCTGATTTAACATCTGATCATGGCAGACGGCATGGAACAATTTGTTTGGGATGTGTGCGTGCTGAAACCCATTTCAGCTATATGAAAACGGTATATAATGGAAACCTCTTCAAGCCAATGGGTGCGGCAGACCCTGTTGCCCCCATAGTTCCAGGGTGAGGATGCTGTCAATCAGAGCCAGCCCATGCATAGGACAGTTTGAGGGCCCCACACTTGGGGGGGGGGGCTCCAGCAGCCACCTCAACCATCCTAAGGACAGGGCACAGGGCAGCCTAGGGGAATTACTGGAGGGGTGTGGTGGCAGGGTAGCAGCAAAAGTTTCCCCTCCCCCCCACATGCTCCACTTCTCACCATTGCATAGAAGCGGAGTACAGCAGGCTAGGACAGGGGCAGAGCAGTCTGCCAGGATGCTCCAGCTCCCACCACTGAAGTGGGGGAGGGGGGATGTTAGCTGCTGCGTCCAGTCCATTCCAGAGCCCCCTGGTAATCTAGCTCATGCTGCTTGGGTTTCAGGTCTGGGCATGGATCTGGGGAGGAAGAGATGGGGCAGGGCAGAGAAGAGGCAGGACTTCGGGGACGGGGTGGAGTGGGAGGGCAGGGCAGGGTGGGGATGGTAGTCTGTGGCACACCTATGGTGCTGGGGGAGGTTGTTCCAGGCCCTGCAGTGCCTGAGATGGCCCTGGCAGTCGTCTTATGGAGAGGGGGTAGTCCCTCTCCTCAAGAGGAGGAGCAGCTGAGAGAGAGAGACAGACAGCCTGAGAACGAGGTGGAGAGAAAAAGAAAGTCTGGGGGTAAATGGAGAGAAACAATAATGGAGATGGGAAGAGGAATGGACAGAAATGAAGACTAGAGCAACTGGAAGTGAATGGAAATGCTGAGAATGAAGAGGACAGGTGGACATGAGAGAGAGTCCCTTCAATTTAAAGCTGGATGGTCAAGTCAGTGCATGTTGGATGGCACATCCCTGATACGTTCCTGTAGCTGTCTGAGCACTGGATCCAAGTGTCTCCTATCGAGTGATCCCAGAGAACAGGAGAACCAAAGGTCCTTCAGATCCCCACTGGAGTCAAGTCCCTCCTCTTCAGGAAGTCATGAGAGATGCTTAAGAGACAAACGTCTTGGTGTGGGACACCGTACAGCGAGATGGCCAGACCAGTCAGGGTCCCCTGTCAGAGGCTCTAGGATCTACCGGTAGATCCTGATCTACTGGGGGGGGGGGGGGCACAGCCCCCTAGTAAGGTTAAAAAGTATGTACAGACAGACACAGGTTTTTATACAGTGGCTAAGCACACTTAATAGCATGTTCTAGTAGATGTGTGGGTATGTGAAATACTGTTATTTTCATTGTATATATTCTCTGGCCCAAGGCACTCAGCTTTCCACCACACAGTAAAGGAGAGTGGAGTGGGCAGGGAGGAGCAGAGCAGAACACGTTGCTTTGTCATGCTTTCCACCATGGTGGTGAGTGTGCGGGAGGGATGGGGGGGACACTCTGCCCCCAGGCCAGGAGGCTTCCAGCAAGTGGTTCAATCGGAGTGGGAGGAGGTAGAGCAAGGGCAGGGGTTGGGGGAAGGTATACAGTGGGGGGAGGCAGACTAAAGGCAAGGCTTCAGGAAATGGAGTGCAGCTGGGGCAGGGTTGGAGCGGGGGGGGCAGGGCCTGTGATGGGATGCTTGAGGGGTGGGGGGTTTGTCCCAGCCCCCCCGGCTGAGGGAAACAATGTCTCTGGCTATGAAGGTGATCAATCGCTTATTAATGTGTATAGGGACACGGTCCTCCTGGAACTCGCTTGTGGGAGATTTCGGAGAGAATGCGGGAAGAGGGTGAAACAGGAATTTTGCCTACAAGCTACAGGGCACACTCACCGCGGAGCCAGGTGTCAGCCGGAAAGAGCAGCTAGTGGTAGGACGGAGGAAAGAGCATTTGAGACATGAAGAAAGGAGGAGATTCAAGGAGCAGCCCGTCACATTATGCCTCAGTGAGTGTCAGCCAGGGTTTGCAACTCTGACTCAAGCCGGGCTTTTTTCCTCAACATGATGCGATGTCATTTTCTTAAAATAGCCTATTAACATTTCCCTGAATGCTGTCAGTGGGCACTGGGAAATCGGAGCCAATTACAAGCAATATGGTTCTGGGGGGTTGGCAACTCTCACTGCAGCTCAGGGTTCCAGTCAGGACAGATGGCTGTGAAACAGGCAGTCTCACCCCAGAGCGGGGTTATTCTATCATTAGGTTATACCAAGCCAGTGCCAAAGTGAATTTCTGTCTCACCACACTGTTAACCAAGCCAGAGATGCAGTCTCCTCAGTCATCCCAGCCATTGACTCACCACCCAGACACTAGATTTTATAACGAGTCCTCCTTCCAACCACCTTCCCAGGTCAGTGTACAACTCAGCTCTTACCCAGCAACCATGCTGATGCCACTGTTGCAGAGGGAAAAGAGCCTGCGACTTAAGCCCTTGCATGAGAGGCCTGGGCTAAAGTAGTGGCCAATATAAAGCAAAGCTAGGTTGAGCACAAGAGAGGACTTGCCCACTGAATCTGGCCAAGAACGTGCCAATATTGCAGAAACACATTCTTGAGAGGTGCTAGGCACAGGACATGCACACGAACACAATGCAGATAGGTGGTACCGGAACACCTCTGCACCAGCACATTCCCCAGTGCGATCAGGAAGACGCTGACCTCTCTTAAAGTAAGGTCAGGATGGCAGAAAAAGGGTAAAGATGTTTTGACTGAACCAACATGCACCATGTGGTAGGTGGTGAATAGTCCATTAGAGGGTGGTACCTGCCCCAGCAGTGAGGCAATATGTAACTTGTTTAAAGAGGGATGTGCTAGGGAGTGTCTTTGCCTGATCTGGGGGAAAGAGAAAGGTGGCCATACATGAGCATACATGTATTGATGGTCCAGTGGCCTGCGGGAGATGGATAATCTGCCCCACCCTGTGGCCAGTCTGAACTGCTCTCATTTCAGTGCTAGCCATTGGCTCTCCCTCTCCCTGCTAGATCAGCGTTTCTCAGACTGGGGTACTCTTCAGCGCTGGGAGCTGTTGTGTCACTGTTCTTATTACAGCCCTAAGGGCCCAACAGTGCTCCTGCCCCTGGGGCTCTGCCTGCGGGGAGAGAGGGATTCAGCCTGCAGCCAACTGGGATAGGTGTACGTCATGATCCTCTCTGGCAGCACTTATCACAGACACACACTTGGAATCCCCACTCCCCCATAGCCCACCCTGCCTCAGTGACCCACTGATAGTCATGTAGCCCCTGTCTCAGGGGCAAACTGCAGCCTGACATTGGAGGGTGGTGTGGACCTTCTGCCTTTGCCTACTCTGGCTGTTTCCCTGCAGCCTCAGGTCTTCCTAGGCCCTGCAGCCTGGGAGTGAGGTCAGGTAAGAACTCCCCAACTTTGCCTGCTTTTTCCCACACAGCTCTATCTCAGTGAGTCACTCAGTGAGCAAGAGTGTATCTGTGTTCTCCTTCCCTCTAGGAACTCTAATTTATACAGCCCCAGCTGGGCCCTCAGCTACAGGCATCACTCTCCCAGCTGTCTCCCAGGGCTGATTTTAGCCCTTAAAGGGTCAGTGCGGGGCAGATGCCCTGTCACACAGTCCCAACTGACCAACGTCTCCCCTTGCTCTCAGCACCCCAGATGTTTTGTGGCATGCGGGAGGCTCCAGGAGGGAGGGGGTGGAGTGGTGCTGTGGTGTGCTCGGGGAGGGAGATAGTGAAAAGGTGACACAGGCTGTGTCTACATTGGCGCGATCTTGTGCAAAAGCGATTGCTTTTGCGCCAAAACTTGCTGGCTGTCTACACTGGCTGTGAGTTCTTGCGCAAGAACAGTGACATTCTAATGTATGAAATCTTGCGCAAGAACTATGATGCTCCCCCTCAGGAATAAGCCCTCTTGCGCAACTGTTCTTGCGCAAGAGGCCAGTGTAAACAGGCAACATGAATTTCTTGCGCAAGAAAGCCCTACGGTTAAAATGGCATGGATGCTCTTGCGCAAAGGCACATGCCATTGTAGACACTCTCTTCTGGAAGAGTTTTTGCACAAGAATTCTTCCGCAAAAGAATTCTTGCGCAAAATCATGCCAGTGTAGACGTAGCCACAGAGTTTGCAGCGGAGTGGGGCAGGAAGAGGTGCGGCACAGGCTTTTGAAGGAAGGAGTGCCATGGAGGTGAGGCTGGGGCAGCGAGAGAGGTTGAGCATAACTCAAGGGAAGTTGGTGCCTTGACTAATACGGCCTGTTTTCTCAGCTAAAGAAACAAAATGCAGTTTACCACATTCAGTGGAGTTAGCACACACTAACTCAAACACAGTTTTGTTGGCATAGCTCAAAAGTAACAAAAGCTTAGTAAGAAATGAAGACAGGAGTTCATGTGAGTTCAGTATACTACGTGGTTAAAAACAGATACAGTGACTCAAAACTTAAATGAACCAGGAAGATGGATGGCCTTCCCACCCTTGGTCAGGATTTCCTTTAAAAACCAAAGTGATGGTCAAGCTGAGCTGAGTGGAGAAGAACACATCATGGGCCTGGTAATGGCAGGGCAGGGTCTTGGGAATGTGGCAAGGGTTTTGGGCTCAGGGTAAGGTAAGGGGTGCAGGACTCAGGATTGGGAATGAGTAGGAGCTCAGGGCAGGGCCTGTAGGGTGTAGGGCTCAGAACAGGGGGGCGGGGGCGTGAAAGAGGTTGGCTGATCTCCAGGGGTGGCCACGGTGGCGGGGGTCTACACTGCTGGGCCACTGGCTCCCCAGAGCTTGCTGGGGACAGCAGGGCTGTGCTGCCCAGTCGGTGGTTTCCTGAGACTGGCCCAGCCAGTAGCTTCCTGTTGAGGCAGAAGCTGCGGTGCCCTGGTGCTGGTTCTCTGGAGCAGGCAGAGGCAAGGTGGGCTGTGCTGTCTGGCTGGTGGCTCAATAGCACAGGAACCTTACCCATGTACGGAGGCCTGCAACATCCCAACAGCCACACTCTGACCACTGCACCTGTTCTCTTGTGGGCAGTCTGAAGTATAACAGTGCCTACTAGCAGATCCCATTCTTTGTGTTTTATGGGAAACAACTGTATTCCAGGCAGCTCCTATTGCCTTGGCACAACCAAGCCCTGGCTTTAATTTATCATGAGAGGAAGCTACATACCAAATTTGGTGGCTCTCTTATTATTTAGGAGGAGTTCTTGAACAAACAGACTCACAGATGAATGGACAGAAAGACAGACACGCAAACTCTCTCAAATATATAGTAGATAAAAGTAATATTATAGTGTGGCTGTGACACTGCTACGTTTTTATGGCTGATTGTGTTAGCAAGTAGTTTTTAAGTGAGGTGAATCTTAGATGTATGCAAGTAAAATCAGAGTGCTGAGGGTTGAGAATTATTAACTCAGGGGTGGTGCTACTATTACACCAGAGCTTGAGGTATGAATCTCTGTTAAAATAGCAAGCAGTGTGTAAATCTTGCACGACTCCACCACAAAAATCCTTCTGCCCTGTTTTCCGTGTGGCCTCACAGAAGATGAGGATTGGAAGCAGGACCAACTCCAAATAACTAATCCCAGGCAGGGCTTTGTCAAGATGGGCCTTAAAACCTCTAGAGATGGAGATTCCACCTCTAGGTAAACCATTTCAGAGCTTTACCACGCTCCTAGTGAAACAGTTTTTCCTAATATCCAACTTAGACCTCCCCCACTGCAACTTGAGACCATTGCGTCTCGTTCTGTCATCTGCAACTTGAGTGTAACATTCAGATTTCAAATGTTTCCATTATTGATTAGTGCACTAGAAATCATCAACGTTATTTGCGTTAACACTAGCAAAAGGCATCATGATAACTTCAAAGCTATTAGCATACCATACAACAGCTGGAACAATTTTGTGCATTTCCACAAACATAATCACACTAAAAGCTGCAAATGTCTATGATGGTTTTTGGGGAATTTTAAAGGAAAGCAGGTAGAATTATTCTAGCTATAAGATAGAGGTTACCAAATTCTATGACCATATGCTAAGTCAGTGGTTCTCAAACTTTTTGGCCCATGGCCCACCTGACTCAATGCTACTGGCCGTTAGTTATGTAATTATGCCCAACCCATTTTGCTAGTGCTGCAGGTAGGGAGAATGGTTTAATATAACCAGTAAGAAAGGAAAGGAGTTAATTTAAGTTATTAAACAGATTAAGCGCTTTAATTTTCCTCATCTTAGTTTATGAAATTTCCCTGGCCAGCAGGGAGGAGGCAGTAGCAGTAGCAGGCTAGAGGTAGGTGTCTGTCCTAGGAATGTTAAATATCAATTAACCTCATGAATTCTTATCGACTATTCCAGGAGATGGTGCAGGAGTGGGCTGGGTGTAGGGTCTCAAGAGGGGTGTTTGTGTAAGCAAGCTGGAGGGGTGCTGGGTTTGCAACCAACTGATAGACTATTGCTTGTGCATACTATGTGTGAAAGAACAACAGAATAACAGCTAGAAATGCAGGTTTGGCTCTGAGATTGGCATAGCCTCTTCTCTCCAGAATACAATCGGTCATCTCAGGTGGCACTTTCCCACACAGCTAATGAAAAAACAGCAAATAGTCTTGCAGCACCTTAAAGACTAACAAAACATGTGCTCCAAGACTATTTGTTGTTTCTTAAGTTTCTCCAGTTACAGACTAACTTGGCTCCCCCTCTGACGCTTTTACCCAGCTGATGAGTCCTTTGGCTTTGCAGCACAGATCGGCTTGCAGGGTGGGGACCTTGCTGAACAGGGGCTCTTGCCCTGAGAGTGGCTTTATAAGGAGCTATAACCTGCTGATGCTAGACTGGACACTGGGATTGGGGCAGGGAGAAGGAGGGAGAAGGAAAGTCAGGAGTGAGGCAGGCAGGGCCTACCTGAGCAAAGCCATCCTGCAGTTAATGGCAGGGAGCCTTTCACTTGCAGTGTTTCATTGCAGCTGCTAGGTGTCCCCTTCCCTCTCCCCTCCCAGCAGAATCCCGGA